AATGTCTGTTCTCACCAGTCAGACTTGGCAAAGCAGTCGGGAACGTCTGTTTGCATTGTCACTGTGCTAGGATTATGTCATTGGGCGTGTCTTCCCAAACCGCCGCAGCGCTTGCTGCAGTGCCATACCCCAGTGCCGATGGAGTGCACGCCACACCCACCACATGACTCATCTCCTGGAATGGAGATTGCTACCGCAACTGCTTTAGGAACTGCTGGCAGCATGCTGGCAGCGGCAGTGATTCCCCTTAGTCATTATAGAACGTTTTTGTGTGTCAGTACCCATCCGTATTCTGGGTCTCATGGACTGGTACTCTGCCCTGTGAGCCACCTCCGGATCTGAGCCTTTCCTCCTTATTTTGGAGATGGGGTTTTTCCATGCTGTTCTGTCCAAGCTGGCCTTGAACCACATTCCTCCAGATATCTGCCTCCTGAGTAGCTAAGATTACAGCTGTGAACCACCAGTATCCAGCTTTGTTGCTTGTTTGTTTAGCTTGGTTTAATGTTGGTGTATGTGTATGTGCCAGTACCAGAGCTTGAACTCTGGGCCTAGGCACTCTCCCTTAGCTTTTTAGCTCAAGGCTGATGCCTTATCTCCTCTTTGAGCTTTTTCCTGCTTAGTTGTGGAGCTAAGAGTCTCCCAGACTTTGCTGCCCAGGCTGGATTTGAACTGTAATCCTCAGGTCTCAGCCTTCTGAGTAGCTAGGATGACCGGCATGAGCCAGCGGCACCTGGCTTTTTGTTTTCTTGAGACATGGTTTCACTCTGTAACCCAGGTTGGCCTCAGTCTCCCCCCTTCCCCCCCCCACCTCTGCCTCTTAAGTGTCAGGACTATACAGTGCACACCTGACACACTTTTCTGTGTATTGCTTGAGTGTTATTTTATATAAACTGTAGGCCAGTATTATGGAAAATTTAGGAAATTGATGGAGAAAATGTTTCATAATCCATCCCCTGAACACCTGTGGGGGACAGTCTTTACTTGCTTTGTCTCCACGTGCTAGTGTTGTACAGATGGCCTGCGTAAGTGTGGCAGTGTGAGCTGCCTTACAGTGTAGTCATGCATACACGAATGGTTGGCGAAAGATTGCCTTGTCTAGCCAGTTTGAAGCCATTAAAAATAATTTTAAAATTAAACTTTTGGTGACATTGCCAAAGAGCAAGAGGACCCTGCACTCAGGACACGCTGGGCCTCTCGGTGGCAGTCATGGCTTCCTGGTCTGGATGGAGCGGCCTGGGCACGGTGCCCAGCACCGAGTCCCAACTCATGCCTCAGCAGCACCCTTCGTGGTGGGAGGTTCTGGTAAGCCCAATGCCTGCCATGAGCCCCGCTGGGACTTCTCAATACTGCCCTCTCCCACAGGCGTTTTGCTCAGAGCACCAGCAGTGAGCCTTGGCAGCAGCGTGTCTGGAAACCAAGATGACGGAGCACCCGGACGCAGCCATGGCTTCTCCCCTGTACTGCAGCATCCTCAAGGCCTTAGTGATGCTTTGTCTCTTGCCAGCACCCATAAAAGCTCTGGGTAGTACTTGGCATACTAGAATGTTCTACTACCCGCTTTTCCCCTTCTTAAAATTGTACCAAAAACAGTTTGGAAATCTCGTTACCTCTGTAGTGTGGTTGGCTGGTTGGTTTTGGCAGTGCTGGGGGTGAGCGCGGCGCCTTGCACTCCCTCTGCACATTTGTGTTGCGGGTGCCCGCCACTTGAGCCATGCCTCCAGCCCTGCCTTTTACTGGTTATTTTGGAGTTGAAGTCTCGCTGACTTTTCTATTAGGGCTAGCCACAGGCCACAGCCTCCTGAGCAGGATTATGGCATGAGCCACCAGCATCCACAAGTGAATTTTTTGTCTCCTCTTCTGTGTATGTGTGCTGGTCCTGGGGCTTGAATTCAGGGCCTGGTCACTCAAGGCTAGTGTGTGCTCAAGGCTAGTGCTCCACCACTTGAGCCACAGCTGCACTTTCAGCTATTTAGTGGCTAACTGAATTTGACGCCCCAGTTAAGAAAAATGACTTTCCCAAGGTCACTTCGCTTCAAAGCAATAGGACCTGACTCTGTATCTGTTAAATTTATTGCCTTTTCTTTTACATCTGGCTTAAATGTAAAGGTACACCATGTATAATTAATCCCTAGATCATAATTTTTACCAAAACAAATTTCACACAGTGTATCATTGCAGAGATGATTCAGCTAGAATGTTTAGGCCACTTGTAGATTAGTGCTTGATAGAAAAATATGGTTTGGGGCTGGGAAGGTGGCTCCGTGGTAGAGTGCTTGCCTTGCACGCCTGAGGCCCTGGGTTCAATTCCTCAGTACCACATAAGCAAAAAGAAAAAAGCAGGAAGTGGTGCTGTGGCTCAAGTGGTAGAGCGCTAGCCTTGAGCTGAAATGTTCAGGGACAGCGCCCAGGCCCAGAGTTCAGGCCCCACGACCAGACTTCCCCCCTCAAAAAAAAGAAAAAGAAAAATATGGTTTGTCTTCCCTTCTTACAAATTTATTTTCTATTTATTTTATTATTTTTCATATGTTTGTCAATCCTGGGGTTTGAATTCAGGGCCTGGGTGCTGTCCCTGAGCTTTTTTGCTCAAAGCTGGTGCTCTACCACAGAAGCCACAGCTCCTCTACATTTGGGGTTTTGGTACTTAATTGGAGGTTAAGAGTTTCACAGACTTTCCTATCCAGGCTGGCTTCAAACCGTGAGCTTTAGATCTCAGCCTCAGGAGTAGCTACAATTACGGGTATGAACCTTTGACTCCCCCAGCTACTTTTTCCATTTTGATTTTGAGTTATTTAAAATTTTTACACACCTACATTTTGAAACTAATTTATTGTTAAATAAGAAGGGGATTGGGACTTTTTGTTTATTTGTTTGTTGTTGTCTTTTTGGTCGGTCATGGGGCCTGCACTCTGGGCCTTGGCGCTGTCACTCAGCTCTTCAGCTCAAGGCTAGCACTCTACCACTTGAGCCACAGCGCCACTTACGTCTTTTTTTTTTTTTGCTTATGTGGTGCTGAGGAATTGAACCCAGAGGCTCATGCATGCAAGGTGAGCGCTCTACCACTGAGCCACCTTCCCAGCCCCTGGGGTTTTGTTTTTGTTTTTGACTTACCACAGCCCATTTTTGCTTTAGTTATTTTTCAGAAAGCATCTCTGGATTTGCCAGTGGTCTATCTCAAGCCATAATCAACTTATTTCTTGTACGTAGCTTTTATTTTGCCCAACCTGGCCTCAGACCACTATCTTCACCTGAGCAAGTGGGTACAGTCACGAGCCTCCGTGCCTGGCCTAGTCAGGGCTTGGGTGCGCTCCCGGAGCTTTTTGTGCTCAAGGCTATCACTCTGCCACTTTGAGCCACTGCTCCACTTCTGGGTTTTGGGTGGTTAATTGGAGATAAGAGTCTCACAGGGCTGGGAAGGTGGCTCAGTGGTAGAGCGCTTGCCTTGCAAGCCTGAGGCCCTGGGTTCGATTCCTCAGCACCATATAAGAAAAAAGAAAAAAGCCGGAAGTGGCGCTGTGGCTCAAGTGGTAGAGCGCTAGCCTTGAGCTGAAAAGCTGAGGGACAGCGCCCAGGCCCAGAGTTCAGGCCCCACAACCGGACTCAAAAAAAAAAAAAGAGTCTCACAGACTTTCCCACCTGGGCTGGCTTCAAACCATAAGTCTCAGATCTCAACTCCCTAAGTAGCTATGATTACAAGCCTGAGCCACCAGCACCGGGCCCAAATTAACTTTCTATTATTTATTATTTATTTTTTGCTGGTCCTGGGGCCTGAACTCAGCCTGGACATTATCCCAAACCTCTCTGTGCTCAAGGCTAATAATACTGTACCACTTGAGCCACAGCACCACTTCCAGCTCAAATTCAGGTCATGGGGCCTGAACTCTGGGCCTGGGCTCTGTCCCTCACCTCTTCAGCTCAAGGCTACTGCTCTACCACTTGAGCCACAGCGCCACTTCTGGCCTTTTCTGTTTATGTGGTGCTGAGGAAGCAGGGCCTCATACATGCAAGGCAAGCGCTATACCACTGAGCCACCTTCCCAAAATGACTCCTAAATAGATACATCTCAGCATTGTGCTGTGTTCTAGCATAGGCTCTAGCCTTTAAAAGCTCACAGTTGAGGAGAGAAGGCATTCCTGACTTGAACCCAGAGCAGACTGCCAGATGCTGTGGTGGAAGTTTGGCCAATGCCTCTGCCCCGGCGAGCATCTTGATAGCAGTCAGCTGGGCTCAGCTGGACTCAGCTGGGCTTTGCCCTGGGCCTCCTGTGCTCTGTGCTAGTGTAGAGCCTGGACTTTGGAGTCCCAGGCTTCCCTGCTTTCTTGCCGAGTGTCTGTGTTGGTTTGGTTATGTTGTGTAGTAGGAAATGGGAATAAGAAGAATAAGAAGGCAGGCCACCCCTACAGTTAGTTGTGACGCGTATTGAGTGCAGAGTAGAGAGCTGACAAGGTGAGCTTGGTAGGGTGGGGAACACTGGGGATGAATCTGCTGGGTTGGGATAGTGAGAAACTGGCCAAGCCAGCAGCATCTGCCTGCAATTGTGTGCAGACCAGCCCTGCTCTAGTGCTTCACCCTAGCCTGCTCATTAATCCCTCCACAACCCATACATACCCAGTACTGCTTGATCCACCTTGAACCAGCAAGTGCATTACCACATCTGGAGTTGGGAAAATAGTATTTCTGATGACTTAGGGACTTCAATGCCCGACATGGGATAGGGGAATCATTCTCCAAGCAGTTGACAAAGAAATTGGAAATTTCAGGCTGGGAAGGTGGCTCAGTGGTAGAGTGCTTGCCTAGCATACATGAAACCCTGGGTTCGATTCCTCAGGACCACGTAAACAGAAAAGGCCAGAAGTGGTGCTGTGGCTCAAGTGGTAGAGCGCTACCTTTGAGCAAAAGAAGTTCAGGGACAGTGCCCAGGCCCCCTGAGTTCAAGCCCTAGGACTGGCAACAAAAAAGAAAGAAATTGGAAATGTTGACATTAATTTGATAAAATATTTATTATGATTGTAGAGGATGTTGGTGACGAAGGAGAAGAAGAAAAAGAATTCATTTCCTATAATATCAACATAGACATTCATTATGGGGTTAAGTCCAATAGGTGAGTACTATGAATTTGCATTATGATGTTTGTGATTACAAATTTGAATCTTAATTGACTGAGCACATAAAAAAAACACTCAAAAGACTTCTGCTTTTTAAATTTAATATTTTTGGTTTTATGCCTTCAAATTTGGAAGATTTTCAATTTGGTATAAATTCTAAAATAATTGTCACATAATGGCATTCCTCTTATATTTGAGCTATAATGTACTTAATAGTAATTCCTAGGGCTTGATCTCTAGACCTAGGCGATTTCCCTGAGTTTTTGTGCTCAAGGTTAGCACTACTATTTGAGCCACAATTCCACTCCAGCTTTTCCTGTGATTAATTAATTAATTAACTTTCCTGTCCAGGCTGGCTTCAGACCACAATCCTCGGTCTCAGCCTTCTCTCTAGCTAGGATTACAGATGTGGTCCACTGGTGCCTAGCTCTGGTGTTTTTGGTTTTTGGCGTTGGTCCTGGGGCTTGAACTCAGGGCCTGCGTACTGTCCCTGCATTTTTTGTTTTTGGTTTTTTTTTTTTGGGGGGGGGGTCCGGTCGTGGGTGTGTACTCTGGGCCTGGGTGCTGTCTCTCAGCTCTTCAGCTCAAGGCTAGCCTCTATCACTTGAGCCACAGCACCACTTCCGGCTTTTTTTTCTGCTTATGTGGTACTGAGGAATCGAACCTAGGGCCTCACTCATGCAAAGCAAGCACTCTACCACTGAGCCACCTTCCCAGCCCTGTCCCTGCATTTTTATGCTTAAGCCTACGACTCTACCATTTGAGCCATAAGTGGTTAATCAGAAATAAGAGTTTCATGAATTTTCCTGCCCAGGTTGGTTTTGAACCACAATCTTCAGATCTCAGCCTCCTGAGTACCTAGGATTATAGGTATGAGTCACCAGGATTTTGCTAGTCTCTGGTTTTAATTTGATTTTTTATTACTCAGTCTAATACAGACTCAGATTTTTATCTGATTTTCATCATTATAAGTAACTAGTAAACATTCTTTTTGTTGTTGTTGTTGGTCGTGGGGCCTGAACTCTGGGCCTGGGCGCTGTCCCTCGCTCTTCAGCTCAAGACTAGCGCTCTGCCATTTGAGTCACAGTCCCACTTCTGGCTTTTTCTGCTTATGTGGTGCTGAGGAATTGAACCCAGGGCCTCATGCATGCGAGGCAAGCGCTCTACCACTGAGCCACCTTCCCAGCCCCAACTAGAAAACGTTCTTTTATACTGATCTGATTTTTGTTGTTTCGAGATTATTTATTTATGCAATACTAGGGACTGAACTGACCTTGTGCTTGCTAGACAAGGCTTTTTGTGTTTTTGAGGCAGGGACTCTCTGTGTAGTCCAGGAAGGCCTTAAACTTGCAAGCCTCCTCCTGTCTCAGCCTCCCAAGTGCTGAAATTACAGATACTTGCTATCATACCTGGCTCGTCTGATTTTTTTGTAGGAGAAAATTTTAAAGATAGCATTATTAGTTCAGATGCAAAGCATTGTTCAAGTTTTTTTTTTTTTTGGTCCGGTTGTGGGGCCTGAACTCTGGGCCTGGGCGCTGTCCCTCAGCTCTTCAGCTCAAGGCAAGCGCTCTACCACTTAAGCCACAGCGCCACTTCTGGCTTTTTTCTTTTTGCTTATGTGGTGCTGAGGAATCGAACCCAGGGCCTCGAGCATGCAAGGCAAGCGCTCTACCACTGAGCCACCTTCCCAGCCCCGCATTGTTCAAGTTTTTAATGCATCTTACTAGACTTCTCACCTTCCAGAAAGTTGGTATTAATTAATCTAGTAGAAATAGGCAAATGTAAATACGTAAGTACTATAATTATTGATTTTGTTGTCAGAAGTTTCTGAGTGATTTCAAGGTTGCAGGAGAGTTGCAAGGTATGGAAGCCCAGGTCTGGAATTCCAGCACTCTGGAGGCATTACGTAAGAGTTCCAAGAATAGTAGCTTGAACTCCTGGGTGTCCTTGGGCTGGGGAAGTCGTTTGGTGGTGGAGCACTAGTGCACACAAGGACTTGGGCAGATCCCCAACACTACAAGAAATATACTGTAAGTATAGCTGAGTGCTTATGGCCTCCACCTGTAATCCTAGCTACTCAGGAAACTGAGACCTGAAGATGGAGGTTCAAAGCCAGCATGGGCTGGAAAGGCCATGAGAACCTTACCTCCAGTAAACCAACAACAACAAGCAATAGCTAGAAGTAGAACTGTGGCTCAAATGGCAGAGTGCTAACCTTGAGCAAAAAATCTTAGAGATAGTGCCCAGCCCTGACTTTAAGCCCGGGTCTCCCCTGTGTGCATGCGCACGCACTTGTGCCCGTACGAGGGCTTCCACTAAGGGCCTTACCGTCTTCCATGGCTTTTTTGCTCAATACTGGCATACTACCACTTGAGCCATGCATGCGCTTTCGGTTTTTTGCTGGTTAATTGGAGGTAAGAGTCTCAGATTGTCTGTCAAGAAGCTAGGATTACAGGTATGAGCCACTGGTGCCCAGCAAGGGCAGGAATTTTTTTTTTTTTTTGTCGGTCGTGGGGCTTGAACTCTGGGCCTGGGCGTTGTCCCTCAGCTCTTCAGCTCAAGGCGAGCTCTCTACCACTTGAGCTACAGTGCCACTTCCGGTTTCCTGGTGGTTTATTGGAGATAGGAGTCTCATGATCTCTCCTGCCCGGGCTGGGTTTGAACCATGATCCTCAGATCTCAGCCTTCTGAGTAGCTAGGATTACAGGCGTGAGCCACCAGCGCCTGGCAAGGGCAGGAATTTTTTTTTTTTTTGGGTCCGGTCGTGGGGCCTGAACTCTGGGCCTGGGCACTGTTTCTCAGCTCTTCAGCTCAAGGCTAGCGCTCTACCACTTGAGCCACAGCGCCACTTCCGGCTTTTTTCTTTTTCTTTTGCTTATGTGGTGCTGAGGAATCGAACCCAGGGCATCATGCATGCAAGGCAAGTGCTCTACCACTGAGCCACCTTCCCAGCCCCAAGGGCAGGAATTTTTAAACCAAGACTGAGTTCAAGACCACTTCTGGGAGAATGCCATGACCCCAGCATTGGTTCAGTCACCCTCACGTACTGGGTGCAGAAAGGCCACTGTAAGCTTCCCAGTTAGAACAACAGTTCTTAACATGTTTGTTAAGTTAAACCCTCAAGTGAGTGAATCTGAGTGTAACACAAAGGCTGTGGTTGTAAGAGTCATTAGGAATGCTATTCTTTGTCCTGTGTAATTTCTCCCTCTGCTTTTTTCTTAGTTTGGCATTCATTAAGCGCACCCCCGTGATTGACGCAGATAAACCAGTGTCTTCTCAGCTCCGCGTTCTTACGCTCAGTGAAGACTCGCCCTATGAAACGCTTCACTCCTTCATTAGCAATGCAGTGGCTCCTTTTTTCAAGTCCTACATCAGAGAGTCTGGCAAGGCAGACAGGTAAAATCCCTTCTTTCTTTCTGTAGTTTGAATGTAATTTCACTTAATTTGTTCACAGGCAGTGTGGAGGATGATGTAAAATTTGTGAGCCCAGGAGAAGTTAGCAAATCAAGGCGGTGTAACTCCTCTCTGCTGGTCACTGTGGAGACCCTAGTGCCCTAATTTTGGGATATTTTATGCTTGCAGAGATGGTGATAAGATGGCTCCTTCCGTTGAGAAGAAAATTGCAGAACTTGAAATGGGACTCCTTCACTTGCAACAGAACATTGAGATTCCAGAGATCAGCCTCCCAATCCATCCAGTCATTACAAATGTTGCAAAACAGTGCTATGAACGCGGAGAAAAGCCAAAAGTTACAGATTTTGGAGATAAAGTTGAAGATCCAACATTTCTTAACCAACTGCAATCCGGAGTTAACCGGTGGATCCGAGAAATTCAAAAAGTAAGAACACATGGGCTGGGAAGGTGGCTCAGTGGTAGAGCGCTTGCCTTGCATGCCTGAGGCCCTGGGTTTGATTCCTCAGCACCACATAAGCAAAAA